CCCCCCCCCCCCCCTCTTGCGAGCCGCCCGTGGCAGTTACCGGCAGGCCTCCCCTCGACCCGCCCTTTTTCATCCCGCGACCCTCCACCCCCATTTCCGCTGCAGCGCCCAGCCCTTTCGGACCGTCGGCCTCCGCCTCCGCCTCCGGCCGCTCCCTTCCAAACTGTTGCTCTACGGCTCCGCCCGCATTTTCGCTGCCTCGCATCCTCCTTGTCCCGCGCCCCTCCACTGCCGCGCCGTTTGGGACCCGCCGCCTCCGCGCCGGTTTCTGCTGGGCCCGGCGGGGGCGTCACGCTGGGCCCTTTGCTTGCTTTAAGGGTATAGAGAAGAGATAGAGAAGAGATAGAGAAGAGATAGAGATAGAGAAGAGATTATATGAAGTGTATTTCCCTGCATTTTTCTATCCTTCTCACCAAATCTCTAGATATCTATCTCTCTGTCCGTCTGTCCGTCAGCCGGTCTGATATCTATCTCTCTGTCCGTCTGTCCGTCAGCCTGTCTGCCTCTCTCTCTCTCTCTCTCTCTGTCTCTCTCTCTCTCTCTCTCTCTCTCTCTCTCTCTCTCTCTCTCTCTCTCTTCGGCAGCCAATGTTTTTTTTAACGTACCACATGAAGACAGAGCGGCGACATGCTTTCGGGGGCTGTCATGACATTTCCCCGGTATGCCACAATGGCCACCTCAGAAAAGGCCGCTGCAAGAAAGGCTGTTGTGGGCTGTGCCAGCAAAGGCGTGCGCGTCTCAAAAAGAAAACAAAAAGGTAAAAGCGTACGCAGAAGCAACGGAAGAAAACAAAAAGGTAAAAGTGTACGCAGAAGCAAAGGAGCGTGACAAAGAGTGAAAACAAAAGCAGTGCCACATAGCCTCAGGACCAACGATTTTTTATTTATTTTCAGTCCATATCCCCCAATTGTGCGGCACCGATGGCATCTTCAGAGCTCTCGCAGACCATCACCACGGAATCGCAAGCATCCAGCACCGCAATACGGAGGCCCACAATACTTTTTGTTCATTGTGTGGATACGGAACCGTGCCCCGAGTTAGCACTTTTTAATAGTTTTTATGTACACAAATCATCTGAGAAAATTGTGGCGATCCTTTCGATGGTCGCAGACCAGACACAGAGTTGCTGGCAATGGTCAAAGCTGCAGTTGGGCAGCACTGACATTTCCGATCCAGTTTTTGTTTCGATAGCTGGAATGGATCTGGTTGAATTTCCTTTGTTATAGATTCCGCGATTCGCTTTACCAAGAGAAGAAGCCTGTTAAGAAATGATATCGGTGACAATGATCCTCCTGCAAATGTCAAGTGATCGAAACCACACACCAGATTTGGATTGAAAAGATGGCTAGCTATCTCAGCCTTTCGGCTAAACATCGATAAAGTGTACTTGCTGTTCCGATCAGTTTAACAAAGGGATTGGAAAGACAGATAGGATAGGAATGAGTGGAAGAGCGAGTAGCAAAGCACCTATGGTCTTATGGTACTTACGTTCTGCAGCCAATCTGCTATTCGCTCTGCTCTTCTGGCGCGATAAACTTGAAGGAACTTGGCAACAGTTGTGTTCCTCTTCTCCTCTTGAGAAGACTTCGGGCGTGCTGTGCGTCATCCCATGTACACCATGCCAATCATAACACAGACCAGCAATACGCAAAGAAGCAAATTTCAACAAGCCAGCGGAAGAATCTTTACCAACATAAATTTCCAAGCCTTCAGAAATTCATGGCCGTTTCGCAAGCGATCTGTTTCACATAGAAACTTTGGGAACGCTGCACGCAGGTGTCACGTACAATCCCGTGCCACCAAGTCAGGACAATGCCTGTTCTGTGAGCAAGAAATGGTGATGACCACACCTTGCAGTACCAAGAAACATGAACAAGCATGGATGATTTTCGAGTGTGGTGCCATTCAAAAAGGGAGTGTCAAACGTCGAATGAGATCTGCAAGGAATATGAGCGAGAGGGAGAGCGATAGACAGAAATCCAAATTGCAAAACCACGCTGAAGTCCAGATAGTCATGCACCAAGCAGAGAGCACAATGCACCAAGATAGCATCCAAATAAGAGCAACACAACGAACTCAAACATCAATGCCGACGCTCTCTGGCCACACCAACATATTATCTTGGTACTATGAGAAAGCAGCTCCTGCTTGTCGTGCCTTGGGCCTGGCTGGCGAGTTTCCAGTAGCTTCCAGTCGGACCCCGGTATCTGCGCCCAGACCCAGTTTCAGATACTGGACTGGGGCCCATGCAGTTAGGCACGTCCAGGTAGCCCACGATGCTCCAAGCGTTCGTCATGATCTCATTGGCTCGTAGCATGTGTGTGATGCAGGAGCTGCTTTCTCATTGGTCCGCGGCCGCTACGTGACATGTCGGCCTCTGAATTCTTTCTCATTGGTCCGCGGACGCTACGTGACATGTCGGCCTCTGAATGCGTGTGCCCAGGGCCTCAACCGATTGAGCCCTGGGCTCAACTGTACGACGCAGCTGTTGCTTCTGGAAGGAGCCAGGGAAGACTCGCATTGCTCTGTAACCAACTGGCGTGTCTGAGATCCCATACAAAAAAAATGGCAAAAATAGGCCTCACACGATTATGCAGGCCTGCCTTCACTTAGGGCGGGCGCGAGGCTTGCTGGGGGCCTATGCCCAGATCATCTGCGTGCCCGAGAAGGGCCTTGTGAGGGCTCAATCCTCACAGAACAGAGAATTCCAAAAAAAGCAAACGGACACAAAAGGGAGGGAAAAAAGCCTGGTCCTTTTTTTTTTTTTGAGAAAACAGAACCTTACGGTTCTGGCTCCATTCAGTCCGGTTCCTATTCCACCGGCAAGTCAAGAGTAGTTACAGCAGTTACTAACGCACACTCTTCCCCATTATGGTTGAGAGGCCTGAATGGAAGGCATTGATTACTTCCATTTGGAAGGATGTACCACCCCCTCACCCCTGCCTAAGTTATCCTACCAGTCTTTGGAATTGGAGTTTTCGCCCTACTTTGCCTGCTAGGATTTCTATTTGAAATTTGTAAGCTATTGTCTGTCCCTTGAAGCCTAATCCTACTTGTTCCTCTCAGGTCTATGGCTGTCAACTTTTGCGATGAGTACTGGAATTACATAGCAGGCCTATTGCTGCCGGGACTTCTAAAACCCTAAACCCCAAGGCTCTGGCTCTGTACTTACTATGAGATAATAAATCCTGTTCTGTCTCTGTTCTTCTTCTGAGGACTAGTACCCAATCCCTTCTCATACTATCCTTTCGTCCTTGGCTCCTATCTCGAGCTAACCGATGTGGTCTCTTTTATCCTTTATACATTTTAGAGTTGCAGTCTGTAGGTATAGATGTGTTTTCCGGGTGGCGGGGGTTAGGGGTTATGAGATGGAGGGATTATAGACTCAGGGGTTGACTGTTAAATCTAGGGCAGATGGTATTCCATGTGGGTTAGTGGGATTTGACAGTAGTGGGATACGTGATGGTGTTTTGTGAGGGTTTTCGAGGGAGCGGAAAGCTGGTAGGGTGTGAGAGGCCAATGAGATGGGTGTTTCGCTGGTCAGGGGGTTGTTGGTTTTGCATTGGGGTTTGGGGGGTGGTGGTGGTCATGCTATTTAGTCATAGTGCTTAGTGGATGGTTATAAGTAGTGATGTTGTATGAGGGATTTAGAGTTGGCTAAATTTGGCTCATAGTCTATCTGTCTATAATGCATCGCTTTAGGGGGGGGGGCGGGGTTCTTTTGCACGTTTTCCTAAGTTAGAGGTTGATGTGGCTTAAAATGTTATCATCGGCCCTAACTTGTGATCTAATGGAGTTTATTTCAGTTGTGGTGGTCAGGGGATCCGCAGTGGTGTTGTGAGGTCAACGGGGTGTGCAAGGGTGAGATTGTTAGCCAGTTTTTCACGACCAGTCTGTTTTTTTCTATTGTGTCTAGGCTGTCTCCTCCTAGCTTGCGTGTCTTGAATCCTTTGACAATATTTGTTTTCTTGTCTAGGTTATTATCGGTTAGGGTCCTAGATTTCTTCCACAGGGTTGTCAGATTTGGTGTGGTTATCCTCGAAGATTTAGTTCGCATCTCCTCTTCCAGATGGTCCATATTGTTGCCTTTCTTATTTGTGAAAGGAGGAATACGTCAAAACCTTGAAGGGAGGGTGGTTGTTCTATGTCTAGAAATATGGTGCCTGGGTTTATTTGTACTACCTTGTTGGAGAGCTTGCTCCAGGTGTTCTCCATCTCATACCAGAGGGTTCTGCATTTTCACAATCTAGGGACCAATGGTTGAGAGTTTCTTTAGCCTCCGAATTGCAAACTTTGCACCACGAAGCCTGTTCTGTTCTGTCCTCCTTTCTTCTTCTTTGTGCTAGCCAATCATTTACTGGAATGTTATGAGCCATAGCAAGCTCGCCAGTTTTACCGGTTTTGCACTGAAGATTGATGACCAGGAGGGGTTTGTTGACAGAGAAATTTCTTCTTTTTGCCATCTTTTTTGGATAATTGTATTGGATGAGATGGGTGTAGGAAATAATTTATAACCTATTTTGGTCGTGTAGTCTGTTAGTTTGTACCTTCTTGTCACGCTACAGTCTTCCCCCGAATACAACGAACGGTGATTTTAGCTGAATTTAGGCTGAAAGATACACCAACTTCAGCTATAATGACCGTACGTTGTATTCGGGGGAAGACTGTAGGGATGCTCCAAGACCATTCTGCGGGGTCAATTTCCAGATGTTGGATGTCTGTTTCCGGATTGTAAACTCTGTTAGTTTCTCCTTCTAGCACTCTGGTTCTTCTAAGGTGCTAATTTTAAAAGAACACTCTGCCCTACTTTCTTCGTGCAGATTGCTCACTAGGTTTCCTGGTTCTTTCAAGGGGTAGATGCAGCAGCAAGTCCATTCTTTATTATCTTTTTTGGGTATTGATAATTTTCAGGACTGCTTGAGTGCTTATCTGTTTTTTCTGTGCCGCCCAGTCTCCCACTAGCCATTTTTGCTTTGTTCTTAGTAGGCGCCTCCATTCCATAGGTATAGTTTCAATGATATATGCAAGGTTGGCTGGCAGGTTATGACTCCCTTTGAGAGTTAGTCTCACGTACCTTCTCGGTTTTCCAGTTGTTGGTGGTATCATCCCACAGGTGCTGGATTTGCCAGATCCCTTTTTCCAGCCAGTGTCCCAGTTTGGCATTTGTTTTGGCGAGTGACAGGCTTTTTCCTCTTTCGTTCTTGGTCCAGGGATTGCTGAAAATGGGGTGCCTGAGTACTTCGTCCTTTCTTTGGGGCCCCAGTTTGTTTTCTGGGAAGATTCTTCTCCAAATGTGGAGTTGTTCCCAGAAGGATATGGATTGTTTATTACCTGTTACTTCTGCTTGATCTGTTTGTTGGTTGTGAATCTTTTTGCAGTTTTGTATTGGCCATTGTTTATTGAGTATCCAAAACTGGCCCGACATATTGGGTGGGGAGTTATATGGGGATATTTCTCTGATGTAGTTGAGTGCGAGTGCAACCCATTGGAGATTGCTCTGTAGAATAAGTCTTAGTATCCATTTGATCTGTCGGGCTTGTACTTGCCGAGCTGGGTCCAGTAGACCTAGACCTCCTTTCCTTTTTGCTATCGTTGCTATTTGCCATGCTACTTTGTGAATGACATTTTGTTTATCTGGAAGTCCGGTGTTGGGAACCAAATGGACGTGGCGTACCACATCATGGCGAAGATTGAGTTGTTAAGAGCCAGAACCTTGCCTCTGAGGGATATATGTGATCTCTGCCAGCTATGCATTTTGTTGATCATTGCTGACAGTAGTGATGCTGTTGATGTAGGGTGACATCCGTTTATGTTGAGTTGTATTCCCAGAAACCGGATAGGGGCTGCGGGGTCAGTCCATTGGAAGCCTTCTGGAGTCATCGTGGGGGGTGGGGTTGGAGAGACCCACCATCCCACGGTCTTTGGCCAATTGATTTTCATTTCGGAGGCAAGCTAGAAGGCTTGCATGGCCTTCTACGAACTAGAGGCCCTAAACAAAGCGCCACAGCATGAACAAATTGAAACCTTCTTGCTAAGGAAGGTCAGAGTGTCCCACAGGAAACCCTGGCTCATATTCCAGCCGGAACTCAGCATCGAGAACCTAGAATTCGACCCAAAGGAGTGGGTATGGGACCTGGGCACCACCGGGAAACCAAGGGCGATAACGGAATACGACGTAAAGTTTGGCTATAACCTCAGACTAAAAACCACTGACCCAAACCCAAGGCTGGCGGAGAGGTGGAGAACCATCCTTCACCTCGACCCTGCAACCCCCATCACCATCCCATGGACCAATTACCTTCTTATCCGCCCAAACCGCATACGCAGCATGCAATGGCTGATAGCACAAACAGCCCTTCCCGTCAACCAATGGCTACATGCAAGAAGGAAGCATTCCGACCCGGAGAGCTCGGAACGCTGCTCAATGTGCAAGAACAACTCGCCCGAGGACATCCCCCACTGCCTCCTATACTGTCCAGAAGCAACATGGATCTGGAAGAAGATCCGGGAGCTATGGTCGACCCTGTTCTCAACACCCCCCCCCAACATCCCTACCCTCTCCATCTTACTGCTATCTAACACTCCCAGCAACATC